TCTATCATCATTCTATCATGCAGGAGGAGCCACATGTCTATGGTGCATCCAACAAGATAAGCCGACTCTTGGATGTCACTACCGCCCGGCTCCGGTGTCATGTGGGTTTTCGATACGTGGATAGGGTAAGAATACTCACGTAGGCTGGTAGTATGTATAATATAACAGAAGGTATGGAAAGCGCCAACAGCCGACCTGCCTCTCTCTGCTCTCTATCTTGACTGACCCACCAGTGCCCCATTGCCTACGGGTGAGGTGTTTGAAATCCTGCTATGGTCAGCAGCAACGTAACAGTCAGTGATTCACGCAGAGACGGTTGGTAGTGAGTCATCTACTGGTACACTGGTTACTGGTAACTGGTTACTAGGAACTGGTACTACTACTGAGAGTGCATCCAACAAGATAAGCCGACTCTTGGATGTCACTACCGCCCGGCTCCGGCTGGGTTACAAGTATCTTTGGCAGGTTAAAACACCACCACCAGATGTAGACCAAACGAAATGTAAACTTTGCCAGATGGACTATTGTCACACCCTGCGTCATTATGTACTGGAGTGCGATAAAAATTAATGAATTCAGAGACAACTCACTCAGAAATGTTCAAGATATGTCAAAGTATTTTATCCACAGTGGTACATTAGAGACCATTCTGGAAAAATACCCTGCCTTTGCTCCCTGTAAATAAAGCACCTAATTGTGGTTGCCGGGGTCGAGACACAGCCCCCGGCCCCTCGTGGTGTGTGTCTGTGTGTGTGTGTACTCACCTAGTTGTACTCCCCTAGTTGAGGTTGCAGGGGTCGAGTCCAAGCTCCTGACCCCGCCTCTTTACTGGTCGCTACTAGGTCACTCTCCCGTGAGCTTTATCATACCTCTGCTTAAAGTTATGTATGGATTCTGCCTTCACTACATCGCTTCTCAAACTATTCCACTTCCTGACTTCTCTGTGGCTGAAAAAAATACTTCCTAACATCCCTGTGATTCATCTGTGTCTTCAGCTTCCAACTGTGTCCCCTTGTTGCTGTGTCCCATCTCTGGAACATCCTGTCTTTGTCCACCTTGTCAATTCCTCTCAGTATTTTGTATGTCGTTATCATGTCCCCCATCTCTCCTGTCCTCCAGTGTCGTCAGGTCGATTTCCCTTAACCTCTCCTCGTAGGACATACCCCTTAGCTCTGTGAATAGTCTTGTTGCAAACCTCTGCACTTTCTCAAGTTTCTTTACGTGCTTGGCTAGGTGTGAGTTCCAAACTGGTGCCGCATACTCCAATATGGGCCTAACGTACACGGTGTACAGGGTCCTGAACGATTCCTTATTAAGATGTCGGAATGCTGTTCTGAGGTTTGCTAGGCGCCCATATGCTGCAGCAGTTATTTGGAGATATGCCTGGTGTTATATTCACCCCAAGATCTTTTTCCTTGAGTGAGGTTTGTAGTCTCTGGCCCCCTAGACTGTACTCCGTCTGCGGTCTTCTTTGCCCTTCCCCAATCTTCATAACTTTGCACTTGGTGGGGTTGAACTCCAGGATCCAATTGCTGGACTAGGTCTGCAGCCTGTCCAGATCTCTTTGTAGTTCTGCCTGGTCTTCGATCGAATGAATTCTTCTCATCAACTTCACGTCATCTGCAAACAGGGACACTTCGGAGTCTATTCCTTCCGTCATGTTGTTCACAAATACCAGAAACAGCACTGGTCCTAGGACTGACCCCTGTGGGACCCCGCTGGTCACAGGCGCCCACTCTGACACCTCGCCACGTACCATGACTCGCTGCTGTCTTCCTGACAAGTATTCCCTGATCTATTGTAGTGTGTGTGTGTGTGTGTGTGTGTGTGTGTGTGTGTGTGTGTGTGTGTGTGTTAGTTACCATTTTGTCCTAGGCACATGTCGATTAGACACTAGGCCTGTTGTATATGAGTACGTGTTAGTTAGTTACCATTTTGTCCTAGGCACATGTCGATTAGACACTAGGCCTGTTGTATATGAGTGTGTTAGTTACCATTTTGTCCTAGGCACATGTCGATTAGACACTAGGCCTGTTGTATATGAGTACGTGTTAGTTACCATTTTGTCCTAGGCATATGTCGATTAGACACTAGGCCTGTTGTATATGAGTACGTGTGTGTGTGTGTGTGTGTGTGTGTGTTTTAGTATGTGTGTGTGTGTGTGTGTGTGTGTGTGTTTTAGTATGTGTGTGTGTGTGTGTGTGTGTGTGTGTGTGTGTTTTAGTGTGTGTGTTTTAGTGTGTGTGTGTTTTAGTGTGTGTGTGTTTTAGTGTGTGTGTGTTTTAGTGTGTGTGTGTGTGTGTGTGTGTGTTGTGTGTGTGTGTGTGTGTGTGTGTGTGTGTGTGTGTGTGTGTGTGTGTGTTTGTGTGTGTGGGTGTGTGTATTTTAGTGTGTGTTTGTTTTAGTTTGTGTGTGTGTTTTAGTTAATGTGTGTATGTGTGTGTATACTCACTTAGTTGTGGTTGCAGGGGTCGATTCATAGCTCCTGGCCCCGCCTCTTCACTGGCCGCTACTAGGTCACCCTCCCTGCTCCATGAGCTTCATCATACCTCTGCTTAAAGCTGTGTGTGTGTGTGTGTGTGTGAGAGAGAGAGAGAGAGAGAGAGAGAGAGAGAGAGAGAGAGAGAGAGAGAGAGAGAGAGAGAGAGAGAGAGAGAGAGAGAGAGAGAGAGAGATCTGTAATTTCAGCAGAGCCTTCAACACAGAAGGGATATGGGTGGCCTTACTGTTATGTACAAGGCCAATATTGTCAAAGTACCATACATGTACTTGGATCCACTTCGAGGACAGCGTGAAACAAGCTTTTATGCCACAAGACGGGCAGAAAGCAGCAACTTTACTCTGGCTGTACCCTTCTCCAGAACATCACTCCATCTGAGATCATATATACCCAGGACGACTCGAGTATGGAACACATTCGTACAGCATAATGATGTCAACGAGATAAAGACAGTTGATCAAATGAAAATGCTGGCTCACAGATGGCTCCAACTTCATCCTGTTCCCTACTTGTATGTCTCATAACAATAAAAATGCTTTCAAATGAGCTGATGCAGGTAACAGCTCTTAGCTTGCCAATAAAGTTAGGAATCCTTAACCTGTAAATAGCTTGTCAATAAAGCTAGGGATCCTTAACCTAACCTTGTCAAACCCTGTGTAAAAAAGAGAGACAGAGAGAAAGAGACAGAGACAGAGATAGAGAGAGAGACAGAGAGAGACAGAGAGAAGAAATGCCAGCTGCTCTAAGCTACATAAATCACCAGCTAAGAGCTATATCAGCTTGAGGAAATAGATGGCAAGTAACATTTGCACCTGAGAAAACGCAAATGATGATGGTCTCTAGGCACCATGATGGTAATGCTGGTGCAGTAGTAAGGATGAATGGGAAGGTGTTGACACCTGGGGAGGAAGTTGATATCCTTGGGTGAAATTTGACTCCAAACTGACCATGAAGAACCATGTTGTAAATCTTGCAAACAAGGCAGCCAGGAAGCTTACAGCACTTCGCCGTATCTCGCATCTGCTTGACAGTAGGGGTTGCAAGATTCTGTACGAGGCACAAGTACGCTCACACCTTGAGTATGCTCCACTTTCTTGGTTTGCCTGCCACCCCCCCTCTCATCTGCGACTGCTTGACAGAGTAGAGAACAGAGCAAGACGTCTCATCTCTCGCCTGGACCAATCCTGGATAGATCTGTCATTTCAGCAGAGCCTTCAACACAGGAGGGATGTGGGTGGCCTTACTGTTATGTACAAGGCCAATATTGTCAAAGTACCACACTTGGATCCACTTCGAGGACAGCGTGAAACAAGCTTTTATGCCACAAGACGGGCAGAAAGCAGCAACTTCACTCTGGCTGTACCCTTCTCCAGAACATCGCTCCATCCGAGATCATATATACCCAGGATGACTCGAGTATGGAACACATTCGTACAGCATAATGATGTCAACGAGATAAAGTCAGTTGATCAAATGAAAATGCTGGCCCATAGATGGCTCCAACTTCATCCTGTTCCATACTTGTATCATAACAATAAAAATACTTGTATGTTTCATAACAATAAAAATACTTGTATGTTTCATAACAATAAAAATACTTTTATGTCTCATAACAATAAAAATGCTTTCAAATGAGCTGATGTAGGTAACAGCTCTTAGCTTCTCAATAAAGTTAGGAATCCTTAACCTGTAAATAGCTTGTCAATAAAGCAAGGGATCCATAACTTTGTCAAACCCTGTGTAAAAGAGAGAGAGAGAGAGAGAGAGAGAGAGAGAGAGAGAGAGAGAGAGAGAGAGAGAGAGAGAGAGGAGAGAGAGAGAGAGAGAGAGAGAGAGAGAGAGAGAGAGAGAGAGAGAGAGTGAGTTAATATTTGCACCAATAACTCATAGTTGTGACCGGGTGTAGACGTGTGAATTGCTCATTACTCTTACAATTTGCTCATGACTGTAGCCATGCATAAACGTACTTACATGATTCATTACCTTTGTAACTTGTGAGTTCATTACCTTTGTACCTTGTTCAGCTATCAAAACTTTGGGGCCCAGTTCCTGGACCCATTATGTACCTGCTTAATTTGTAAATACCTTTGTAACTTGTCATGATTGTGACCAGATCTACCTGGGCTCATTACCTTTGTAACTTGCTCAGCTATCAAAACTTTGGGGTCCAGTCCCTGGACCCATTATGTACCTCTGTAATCTTTTGACTACCGCCCACAGGATGGGTATGGTGTGCATAATAAACATATTAAATTAAACTAACTTGTGTCTTGTTTCACTCGTATCGGAATTTTATACAATTTCTCTACATCATGACTACCCACTATATGCCTAAAATGTGTTTGCTGTGAGTCAGTGTATGAATTCATACTGCTGTCTGCTATTACTTTTCCCATATGTAAAATATCTGTAAATTTCCGTGATTTATTTTATTTATATTACCCTATCAGTCCCATGGCAGCCAGGCTGCAGTTCTCCCCGAGCCAGTTATTGTACTCACCCATATGTGGCTGCAGGCGTCGATTCACAGCTCCTGGCCCCGCCTCTTCGCTGCTAGGTCCACTCTCTCCTAGCCACAAGAGCTTTGTCCTCTCTTACGTGTAGCTATGGTATCCACACTTGTCATTACCTTCTGTTATAAGCTGCTGCACGATCCACACACCGGAGGTCTTGCACGTGGATATTTTCCTCCTTTTGTGCCATATCCTGGAAGATTAGCATGCCCAGTGTACTCTGCTCTGGTGCTTGTCCTGCTAACATAAGCGTAATACCCTACGTAACATTTCGTTCGCCCACTCAGTGCTCAGTTGTAAGGCCGTTCTCTACATGATGCTCAGTACTCGTGGCGCAAAATCGGAGTCTGAATGATAAAACATGCGGAGCTTGCAAGACCGAAGCATCGTCAACTGCAAGGTGTTGTGGTCTGGTCAGGGACGCCAACCCTTCCACACGGCTTATGTCAACTGTTTTAGCTCATTGTCGAGGAAATAAGATGCACCCGTCACTAATAATTTAGATAACATTGACTATATTGAGATTCCATTGACATATTGATGCATTTGGAATTGGCGGTGCAAGGTTTAATGTCTATGATGCAATACATGCTGTTTGCTGCCTGCATCAGAGTTGCCAATCAGAATATAAATGTAAATACAAGTATATAATTTATTTCCACACTTACAAACACCATAATACGTCCACACATACAGAGGTAACTAATAACTATAATTGGTATATTACAGAATGCATGCATTTGTTGCCTTAATATGCCTCTTATAGAATAAGAAAATACGTGAAGGAGTGGGGGTTGCATGGCTACATGCATGACAGGAGTGAGAATCATTGCATAACTCAAGGTGGATCACAACCCTCTTTTTCGTTGCAGCTTATAGGGTAGGTTCGCGGTGCATAATAGAAACTTATCAAGCTAAACTCATAACCGAAAGACCCGGGATCAACCCCGGGTGTGAGTAGAGACATGAATAACGCTGCTTCTACCTGCTGCTCTTGTTCACTAAGCAGTATAGGTACCTGGGTGTTAGGTGACTTCCCTCAGTAGTTAATACATAGAGCTGGGCTTTGAAAAAATGAGCTGAGGTATAACAGCTCTAGCCAGCATTGGCTAGAGAGGTACTGTCCTTGAGGGTTTAATTAACACGTCCCAAGGGAGCTTGCCAGAATGGATGACCTTTTTTTATATTATATACTTTTTAAATAACATTGGCTTCTCAGTGTGCGGATGCATCTTATTTCAATACCTCCAGCAGGTCTAGTTAGTCATACGCTTGCATTTTATGATCCACAGTTCTTTGCCGCTTTCTTTCGAATATAATGATCACACCTTGGTATTGCAATTTACCCCCAGGGTGCGACCCACAACAGTTGACTAAAACCCAGTTACCTGCTTGTTGATAGGTATGTATCCCGATGTTTAGGTTATATTTCTAGTAGTTCATAAAAGTTCATACAGTTTTTTAAGGGTTATATATATATATATATATATATATATTTTATATATATATATATATATATATATATATATATATATATATATATATATATATATATATATATATATATATCTCAATTTTATAGATTCATCGTAAACTATATAATATTGATGCTATAATAATATTGTTATTGAAATTTGCTTATTATTACAGGGGCCAGGGAATGAGGAATGTGAGGAATTTAGGTTCGATCCAAGGAAAGGATGAAGAGCCCTTGCAGTAAAGCAAGAGCAAAGAACTACAGACCGATAGCGCTAACATCCCATATCATAAAAAATCTTTGAAAGGCTTCTAAGAAGCAAGATCTCCACTCATCTAGATACCCATCATTTACACAACCCAGGGCAACATGGGATTAGAGCAGGTCGCTCCTGTCTGTCCCAACTACTGGACCACTATGCCAAGGTCCTGGATGCTCTAGAAGACAAACAAAATGCAGATGTAGTGTACACAGACTTTGCAAAAGCCTCTGGCACGTGTGACAATGGTGTAATAACGCACAAAATGTGTGACAAAGGAATAACAGGAAAAGTTGGTAGATGGATCTGTAATTTCCTAACAAATAAAACACTAAGAATAGTAGCAAACAGAGTAAAGTCTGAGGCGGTTACTGCGAAAAGCTCTGTTCCATAAGGCATAGTACTGGCTACCATCTTGTTCCTCATCCTCATATCGGACATAGGGATATAAGCCACAGCACTGTGTTTTCCTTTGCAGATGACACCCGAATTTGCATGACAGTGTTCTCCATTGAAGACTGCAAGATTCCAGGTGGACATCATCCAAATCTTTAAATGGGCCACAGAAAACAATATGAAGTTCAATGGTGAGAAATTTCAACTACGGTATGGAAAACGCGAGGAAATTAAAACCATATCTGAGTATAAAACAAATTCGAAACACACAATAGAGCGAAAAACTAGTGTTAAAGACCTGGGAGTAATAATGTCTGAGGATCTCACTTTCAAAGACCACAACATTGTATCCATCGGATCTGCTAGAAAAATGACAGGATGGATAATGAGAACCTTCAAGACTAGGGATGCCAAGCCCATAATGACACTCTTCAAGTCGCTTGCTCTATCTAGGCTGGAATATTGCTGCACACTAAAGTACCTTTCAAGGCAGGTGAAAATGTACAGAGAACCTTCACGGCACACATAACTGCCGTAAAACACCTCAGTTACTGGAAACGTTTAAAGTTCCTCAACCTGTACTCCCTAGAACGCAGGCAGGAGAGATACATGATTATACACTTGGAAAATCCTAGAGGGATTAGTAACAAACTTGCACACGAAAATCACTCCCTATGAAAGCAAAAGACTCGGCAGATGATGCAACATCCCCCAATGAAAAGCCGGGGCGCCACTAGCACGATAAGAGACAACACAATAAGTGTCAGGGGCCTAAGACTGTTCAACTGCCTCCCAGCATACATAAGGGGGGATTACCAATAGACCCCTGACTGTCTTCAAGAAGGCGCTGGACAGGCACGTCAAGTCAGTACCTGACCAGCTGGGCTGTGGTTCGTACGCTGGGTTGCGTGCGGCCAACAGTAACAGCCTGGTTAATGAGGCTCTGATCCACCATAAGGCCTGGTCACAGACCGGGCCGCGGGGGCGTTGACCCCCGCCACCCTCTCCAGGTAGTGTTAATATACATTCCTTACAACTTAGCTAATGGAGTTGCGAGTACATAAAAGGTTGCATATCTCACGTAGAGCCCAGAACGCGATTACCGGTTGTAGGATCAAGGCTCCACCATTCCATGAGCTGGGCTGATTAATGGAGTTTAAAGTCTGTCGACTGCACGAGGGTCATTAAGGCTGCACGGTAACCTATTCATTACCAGACAACAAAACTTTAATCCATAAAATAGGGATTAAAGAAAACTCATTATACATACACTGAGAGATATACTCCTCAATGTATATATATCCTGTGAAACTGAGCTGAATGGCCCAAACGGGTTTAATAATTAAATACAGTTCAGTACTTCTCTTTATTATATGTAAATATTTGAGTAATAAATTGTGATACTTGAGTATACACTTACTTTATTAATGTAGATATTTTGCCGAAGCGATTTTTAAAACCTGTAAGTGACATTTCAACATTTTATGTTCTGGGAAATTCACCCATGTGTTGCTATGTAAGACAATTGTAATCAACCAACAATTTTGTAAAAGTACATAAATACATTTACTTAGTGCCAACAAGCCGAGGGTATTAATTTCATTGACTCAACAACTATATGATAACTGGTCTAAACATTACGAAATTATTATATTTTATTAATCATGTCGAACAATACTAACAAAACTTATTCTGACCTAAGAGAGAGAGGTTGGGTAAAATTAAGCTGAATTATATTTCAGCAGTTTAAGTAATGTTAGGCGAGGTTGTTAGGTCGGTTATGGTGAAAAAAAAACGTTAATTCAACAAAATATATTGATTTGTTCATTACCTTTGTAACTTGTTCTACTGTCAAAACTTCGCAGCCTAGTCCCTGACCCATTATGTACCTCTGTAATCTTTTTAACCACCGCTCACAGGATGGGTATGGGGGGTCCACAATAAAGATATTAAACTACGAATGAGAAAACTAAGAAAACAATTTATTTTTAGAACATTGTGAGAAACTGCTTAAACCAAACACCTTTGATATACACGTTATTAATATGCCTTTGCATAAATTACATACATATAATATTATGACATTCCGTGAGTAATGGTAGATTACAGCGATGTCAACGAGTTTCTCTTTTTTTCGAACGAATATAAGTGTCTAGCATGGTCCAAATTTTGCAATTTATTTTGTTCTGTTCTGTATAATAAAATAACTATAATCACTGTTTTATTTCAGAAAATACTGAGAAAGTGATGACTTCTAAGGGTCTTGTGGGTCGGTTTATTAAGTTTCTTCCCATTAAAAGTCATTGTGAATAAAGCTTTGAAAAATACTGCTGTCACTTCTGGAGGAGTTGGTTAACAGTGTTGCTGTAGCCAATCGCAAAGTAACTCCATTAAGAGACATTTACAAAGGAATGCAGGCAAGTGAAATATAGTAAGATCAAATCTGTGTGCACGGTTAAAATCATCTCTTAAGAATCCTTTCAGTAAGGTATCCTGTGGTCAAAAAAAATCAGTGTCGAAGTCTGTCGCTATTATTACATTTGTTATCATATTAAATGAATTCTATATGAGAAAGCACATCTCCAGAGAGAACTAGGCGAATCTCTCTATTTAACACTAACAATATATTTTATTCATACATGAATTATTATGATTACAATCAAAATTAAGCGCTAGGCCCACAAGGGTTTCATACACAATATACTAATCTATTAGAGAAGCATCTTATGCCATGTAACATTCAAGAACCAGCAACTCTTGATTTAGAAAAGTCTTTGATTCTGACCAGAATGTATATTGTTTACTGTGGAGCTTTATTCTTTCGAGGCTTCAGTTGCCCATAAAAAGGTGATTTTGGGGGTTGTCCCCACATCGTCACCATGGCGAAGATAGCGGGGAGAGAGTGTATCAGCGTCTCCAGCAGAAGGGTGAAGCCAGCCAGCAGGAAACCAAATCCCAACAGGAAGAACGCTGCCTGTAAGTGCGTGATGGTGATAGCTCCTGGACCACCCTCTGTGGCTTTCTCACGTTTGGACACTTTCCTGATTTCGTCTTTCATAAATTTTTGCACCAGACCTGAATCGCTGATGTGAGATAGTCTGGTGAGGAGAGAACAGGTTGGTTATTTGAGCCAAGTCACACAATATTAATTTAAGGAGATTCATATCATGGTGTACTTTGTAAATGTATGTATATATGCACACAAACGGGAACTCAGGGTAACTAAAGACACGGATGAACCACAGGGATGTCAGGAAGCATTTCTTGAGTCTCAGAGTGACTGGGAAATGGAACGACCTCGATAAGGAAGTGGAGGCAGGTTCCATACATACTTTTAAGAGCAGGTACGATAAGGCCAGCGAGGGGGTAAATCGGACAAAGTTTAGAGGCAGGGCTAGGATCCAAGAGTACACCTCCAGCAGCCACAAATAGGAGAGTGGATCAATAAGGAAGAGGTGCCTTACATCTCATTTAGGACATCCTTGAAGGGCGAGCCGCTAGTGCAGACGATGCCGTAGCCCTGAGGATAGAAGGAGGTCTTGGCGAAGTAGAACTTCTTCCTTCCTCTGATAACTGCGCGGATCTCAGCGCCCAGCTGAGCGTTCAAGAACACATACTTCCCACTCATAACCTGCACAAGATTATTATTATTATTATTATTATTATTATTATTATTATTATTATTAGTGTTATTATTATTATTATTATTATTATTATTATTATTATTATTGTTGTCTTATTATTTTTATCATTATTATTATTTTAATTATTTTTATCATTATTATTATACTGAAGGAAACGGTAACCCCGTAAGTCTTTTCAACGCCTGAGGAATGAGAGTTAGGGAGTAACCCGGTTAGATCCGAGGAAAGGAAGAGCAGCTCTAATTCCTTGCATCAAGAGCATTTCACCCTTGAACGGTGTTAAGTAGACCTACCCTCCTCTTACTCGAATAAAACATAAGCGCTTTCACATGAGGAAGAAGGTAAAAGGGAGAGTGATGGAGGAAGTAAAAGGGAAATAGAGAGAGAGAGAGAGAGAGAGAGAGAGAGAGAGAGAGTAGTAAGGATGAATGGGAGGGTGTTGGCACCTGGAGAAGAAGTTGATATCCTTGGGGTGAAATTTGACTCCAAACTAACCATGAAGAACCATGTTGTAAATCTTGCAAACAAGGCAGCCAGGAAGCTTACAGCACTTCGCCGTATCTCGCATCTGCTTGACAGTAGGGGTTGCAAGATCCTGTACGAGGCGCAAGTACGCTCACACCTTGAGTATGCTCCACTTTCTTGGTTTGCCTGCCCCCCCTCTCATCTGCGACTGCTTGACAGAGTAGAGAACAGAGCAAGACGTCTCATCTCTCGCCAGGACCCATCCTGGATAGATCTGTCATTTCAGCAGAGCCTTCAACATAGGAGGGATGTGGGTGGCCTTACTGTTATGTACAAGGCCAATATTGTCAAAATACCACACTTGGATCCACTTCGAGGACAGCGTGAAACAAGCTTTTATGCCACAAGACGGGCAGAAAGCAGCAACTTCACTCTGCTGTACCCTTCTCCAGAACATCACTCCATCTGAGATCATACATACCCAGGATGACTCGAGTAAGGAACACATTCGTACACCATAATGATGTCAACGAGATAAAGTCAGTTGATCAAATGAAAATGCTGGCCCACAGATGGCTCCAACTTCATCCTGTTCCCTACTTGTATGTCTCTTAACAATAAAAATGCTTTCAAATGAGCTGATGTAGGTAACAGCTCTTAGCTTGCCAATAAAGTTAGGAATCCTTAACCTGTAAATAGCTTGTCAATAAAGCTAGGGATCCTTAACCTTGTCAAACCCTGTGTAAAAAGAGAGAGAGAGAGAGAGAGAGAGAGAGAGAGAGAGAGAGAGAGAGAGAGAGAGAGAGAGAGAGAGAGAGAGAGTGGTAATGTTGGTAGTAGTGTAACCTTGTCCATGCCAGCACTGTAGGTAGCAGCGTAGCCAACACGAGGGTCGAACACGTCCCACACTTCCTTATAGATACCACTCTTGGCCTCCTGCAGCCCCACCAGTACCAGTAGCACCAGCAGGTACAAATACCAGCAGAAGCAGGTACCAGCATAAGTAGGTAGCAAGAGAGAGAAAGCTATCATGTAGTCATGCAAATCTCTTGTATCATCACTAGAAGAATGACACGAAGAAAATAATAATAAATTATATATAGGATCATGTTTCACACCATACATGAACTCTTATATGTAACTCTCTACATATATCAACACATGAATAAAGCATCGTCTGAATATTTTCTCAGGACGGCAGACTGGACCTAAAATGAGCTATCAGTTCACTGACAATAATTTAGGGCTTAATCTATAGGACTAACAAACATAAATAGCCCAATACTACTATGGTACGGCACCCTAGGCTGACTTTAATTTATGATGATGGAATGTTAGCATTTCTTAGGTTATTATTTACATATATTAGGCTTGTAACATCAAAATTCTAGAGGGATGAAGCTACCCTCCCCTCACCTAACGTCTCCAATAGGCTACGACGGTAGAAATATATATATTTATTGGCGTGTGCATGAATATATATATATATATATATATGTATTCTTACGTAATAATGAAGCATCAAGGGATTCAAGGTGTAGTGAACACTTGTTGATGAATTGAAGAAACCTACATGGAGACAGAAACTATGTAGAAACTGTGTATTTCGATCTCAGCCCGAGATCTCCTACACTGTTTCTGTCCACCATCTCCTCCCTTGTCATCGCCTCACCTTGAAGACGAACTCATTGCTGGTGCCCAGCACGACCACTGGCTTGTATTTCATGTACTTCACCGCATAGAGTAAATCCGTGAGAGAGTCTATAGGTTTCTCGTAAGCTGGCAACGCAAGAACGGCAGTCAAGGTTCCAGAGTACATGGCTGAAAATATATAATTCAAACACAGCGCTGGAAGCAGAGCTCATATATAGTTTTAAGGGTAGGTATGATAGGGCTCAAGAGGCCAGAAAGCTGGCTGCTCAGCAGTAGCTGGAGGGGTCGGGGGTTTCTCTAGAAATACCTGAATGGGTGGTGATTATGGCATTCACTATTCTTTCCAGTTATCATTAGTTTCTAGTGTGAGTATCAGTATGGTTGTAGCGACTTAGTAGCGTGACAGGCTGATAAACTTTAGTTGATAAAAATACACGAACAGAAACTGGACACTTTGTGAAGACGACGTTTCGCCTGCGCAGGTGTAATGACTTAATAAATCAAGTTTCCAACTGCTCTCCATAAAGAGGCAAAAAATATATAGAAAGTGTACCCAAATGCTAGTTATCATACGTCGCATGAGCTCCTCACCGTATATAACGAAGCAGAAGAAATACCAGGCGAAGAATATGATGCGGAGTTCCCAGCGCTGAGAGATGATAAGATTGGTCTGAACGACGAGTACACGAAACGAGTTAAATGAGAAGGTCTGTAGGGATCGATGTGGCTCGTCTTCTGTGAAGTGCTCTCTTATCCAACTCACTACACTCAACACCGGACCCATGCCAAGGGTTGCTACACAAACCAGCAGCCATAACTGTAGTGAGGTGAAGACTCAGGTAGTGAGAATGAAAGTGAGATTGACTTACACAAGTAATAGTTCTTTCTTAGGAAGAGAGCTGATAGACAAAAGGAAGATTTGGACTGTGACTAATAGTTATAGATCATTGCCACTCCTGTCATTCACTGGAAAAACGTTGAAGAGTATAGGTTTCAGGTAATAAGGTTTCAGGAAAGGTCAGTTTACGGCCGCTCTCTTGCAAACTTCTCTCCATTTCGTGACACCAGATACTTGATGTCTACATCAATTGCGTAACTGCATTAAACAATTATAGTATCGATGCTAAAATATAGTATAATCTTCACGTAAATCTACAAGCACTAGGACTTAGTTCTACACTTTTCTAAGTTAATGTCCATTATGACACGAAACAAGCCAGGGCACAATACTAAAAGCCAGCACATGCACTTAAAAACGTAAAATGAAATCATTTTAGTATGATACAAATCCATTTTTCGTGTGAAGCCCTCATAGAGGATGCCAAAGTTTTCATTAAAAATATTCTAACCTTCAAAACTGTATTTTTGTTTGTGGGAAATAAATGATCTAACAAACAGTTCCACCTACAGCCAAGGAGAGCAAACAGCAGCTGGAACTAAGACTCGGTACCTGAGACGTGAAGGGAGAGAAGACAGCGAAGGCCCTGTTCTTCTCTTTGGGTGCTGGCGAGACTAACGTAGTAGACTCGAGGTAGTAAGGCATAGTGAAGTCCACCACCACCTCTCGAGGACCTGTAAGTAATTCACACCTTCAAAAATGGGATTTTTTTTTCTGAGTTTCAGACTCTTGTATGAAATTAGGTGAGCACAGTTAGGTAGCGTATCTGTCTCTTGCTTAGCGGACGATGGTTTGAACCTCAATCTTTCCTTACACTGAATGATCCATGCGGATTTAATATTTCGCACAATTATACTTATGCAAATATATATATATATATATATATATATATATATATATATATATATATATATATATATATATATATATATATATATATATATATATATATATATATATATATATATATATATATATATATATATATATATATATGTCGTGCCGAATATGTAAAACTGGTCAATTAGCAAGAACTCATTTAAAATTAAGTCCTTTCTAAAATTTTCTCTTATACGTTTAAAGATATATTTTTTTCATTAATGTTAATGTAAAAAAAATTAATTTTGCACCAAAAGAATCTTAGAAAACTTACCTAACCTTATTATAACAAGAACAATATATTTTAGCCTAACCCAACTATATATGTTTTAGATTTGTTTACAGTAATTTAATACTAAACAAACACAGTGAAATATATATTTTTCGTTAGGTTCAGAATGATTTTGGCGAAATTATTGCATACACAAATTTTCACTTGTCCTATATGGCAAGATGAGCGTTGCTATTTAAGCCAAGATGGCAAGTTCTGCCTATTCGGCACGACATATATATATATTATATATATATATAATATATATATATATATATATATATATATATATATATATATATATATATATATATATATAAATATATATGTGTGTGTGTGTGGGGGGGGGGTGCGTGCTTTTGTGTATGCATATATTTGTACGCTCGTGTGCATGTGTCTGCGTGCGCCCTCGTGTGTGTGTGTGCGCGCGCGCGCGCTCGTGTGGGTGTATGACCCACTTAATATTTGTATTTATAACTCATTACAATTGTGACCAGGTGTGGACGTATCAGTGGCTCATTACTTTGTAATTTGTTCATGATTGTAACCATGTATAGGAGTGAGGTTGATTCATTACCTCTGTAACTTGCCATGATTGTGACCAGATCTACCTGGAGTTCATTACCTTTGTAACTAGTTCAGCTATCATAGCTTTGGGGTCCAGTCTCTGGACCCATTATGTACCTCTGTAATCTTTTGACTACCGCCTACAGGATAGCTATGGGGTGCATAATAAAGATATTAAACTGAAATTAAACTGCAAATATTCTATGTCTCCGCTTCAGGAAGATGCTAAAGTTATGGTGCTAAAGGTGCCTGGTGCACATTACAATGTTGCTAGAACAAGAACACAAACACCTGAAAGACAACTAAGGTGGTATTAATTAATGGTGGTTAACTTGTCAGGAAACACCCTCCAGACACAGGTCACAATTAAGGTAATAGATTTATAACTGGCGTTTACATCCTCAGTAAAATTATAAAGGGTAACCAGTGATTCTTTTTTTATGGGAGATTCCTAGATGTTGATAACCGGCTCTTCTAAGGAATTGGCTCCGCCCTTGTCTTCTTGAGACATGATTACCCCTCCCCTATCCCCAGCACCTCCCATTTCCTATGCCCTGTAGGACCCTTACGGGTTTAGCACTTTCCTATGATGGGCTGATTACATCATTACTGTGCTGCTACTCCTGATGACTGTATTTGACTGCTGAAGCCTACTGTGTTGGCGAAACGTTTCAACAATAAAGATACACAACTTGGTATTTTGTACCATTTTCAGCAGAACAGTACCCATTTCGCCCAATATCCCTTACTAGCTGCTTGTGTAAAACATTCGAAAGGATGATTCTTAATCGTCTTATGCACAGAATTAAGGAATTCTTGTCACCCCGGTTGCATGGCTTCATGCATGGAAGGAGTGTGCATCACTGCATTACCACCTTTCTCACTCTGCACACTGACAGCTCATACACTACGTTCCTTGACCTTAAATCCGCTTTTGATGTAGCCAACCGACATGTAATCATTAGTGAACTTGCCAGAATGGATGTTGGAGGATGGCTTCTCCGCTGGATTAAAGGTTACCTGTCCAACAGAAAGTCGTCTGTGTTGTTCCAGGGACATAGAAGTGTAACTCAAGATTTTGAATTAGGAACCCCGCAGGGAAGTGTGCTTAGTCCCACCCTTTTCAACATTTTGATTAAAGCCTTACTTAATGCCATGCCTAGCCAGCCCCATCATTATATGGTTAGTTTTGCTGATGACTTAATGATTCACACTACCGGATTCTCCAACACCCAAAACATTCTTGATCATGTACTAGCCTCGTGTCAGGACCTGGGGTTAATAATCTCAGGGGATAAAACAAAGATACTCAACAGGCGTCCTCCTCGGCAGAGAGGCACAGTTCGTCAGATCCAGTTGCATGATGGGTCTCTTCTAGAATATGTAAGCAGATACAGGTATCTAGGCTTTGAGGTTCCACTACTTGGACCTGTTGTAACGAGACTTTGTCGCCAATACAAAGAAAGGCTGAGAGCACTTAGAGTTGTGGCAGGTTTTCATCCCAGGTATGGTGCTAATGTTAAAATTGTGAAAATGATTATCTTGCTTATATTAGATCATTGGTTGGTTATGCGGCGCCACTACTTGCACTCGTGTCTGACTGGAAGCTTGGAGGGCTGGAAAAACTGCAAAACGAAGCAATGAGGATCATCCTAGGATGCCCTCGTACTGCCAAAATTTTAAATATGCGGAAAGAACTTAATATTCCAAGCGTTAGAGATCGTGTTACTGAAAGAAATATCCTTATTGGGGTCAATATGCTTAGGCTAGCCCATTCAAACCCCTGCACAGAAGCCCTCCAAACTTTCCTCAGCACTGGTGAACATCCTTCCAGATGGACCGAAAAAACTGGAACCGACCTCCCCATGAACCAGCTACATGATCTATATCAAGTTAGACAACAGAGACATTTCCCTACTCCATGGGATATTACCCCATTCCAAACTACCATTCCTCCATTTCCCCCCAAAACTCTTCT